TTTACGAAGCAAAAGAATGAGAGAAGTGAATACAAGGATGCTTTTCGAGGTAAATACAAGGTTTCTCAGAATTTTTCTGCTAAGCCCTTGTTCCCTGAAATAAGCAGTTATGAATGTTGTCAGAGTCGACAAACAACCATTGTGAAGAAATACCTGCGGATAAACCGTCGTCGGCACCACTCCAGAGTGAGGTCATTGTAATCTCTGACGACAGCAGAAGTGATGTTGATAAGAACGACAATCACGCTCCCGAGTTAAGTCCATCTCAGAACGATGAGGTCATTACCATCTATGATGACAGTAGAAGTGGTATTGATACATGCGAAAACGATGGAATAATTGATGTGATTGGAGACGATGTTCCGCCAAAATTACAAATATTCTCTCCAAAGGAAAGGGAAGAGGTTTGAATTGCAATTTCCTTTGCGATTGTATTGAGAGAAAGTTGGGAAAGAAGTAGACATTGAAATATCTCTCCGGTGGCCAAGCTAAGGAAAAGTCTACTAGCGCGAAATAAGTTATGAGGTTGTGAAATGATAGCAGCATAGTCAAACGACAAACAAAAATTCTATAACAAGGATTTTGGCAGCGCATTTCGTTGCTTCTCCAAAATATAGAAAACGGTGATTAGATAGCGATTTCAGGGAAGGAACCTTTTTACCAATATCTCTTCTGAATTGCTGTAATATCTTGATACATGAGGAATGTCTATGAAAACCACTCCTGATTGTTTAGCCATGCACTTCCAGTAACTAGAAAGTCACAACAATTTGGTTAAAGGTGAATGCCGATGTAATCTTTGAAAACGATTTCATTAAATTAAGAGCAATGTAGTTTACAGCCCACTGTCGCGGATTATCAAATCCTGCGAAGTGGCAATAACTACTCGCAAGACCTATGCAGAACTCACAAGGATTTCTAAATGAACATGTTATCATTGCTTCTAGAGACTTTTTTGGGTTGTGTTTGATTAAGGAAGTCAACATTACGAACATTTGTCCCTCTATGCTCCGACCAACTCCGCTCTCATATTTTTCGTAATTTGATTTTCCGAATATTAGATTTATTGATGGTTGTATATAAAACTTTTACCGCAAAGTGCCACTTATTTTGAAATCTCTTCCTAGTTAACGGGGTTTAAGGAGAAGAAGCCTCCTGATAAGCTACATTATTTTTGATGTTTTCTGATGGAAAATCATGTAGTGCGTTCACGATAATACTCATTTACGAGCGATTTTCAAACTATTTTATAGTGTTAGAAATGCGCTCAAACAAGACATTACGACAATAAATGCTATCTGATATCTGAGATATATATATATATATAT